GCCTACTAAAACGCATGGAGCTCACTAAATCTGATACGGCAATCTGTCCATTGTCTTTGTTTATGCAGACCTCGGGACATGTTCGCGTTTTCGGCGCTATCACTATATTTAGAGGGTGGGCAAGACCTAACAAAGGTAAGGCATATGGGTGTTCATCGATCAGAAGTAGAATAGTTAATCGTGCTGTGCGTAGAACTAGGAAAGGGATAATACTGGTAACGTAAATGGGGGGTTAATATCACGGAGAGCGTGGCGTCCCCCTGCGCGTTTTTTTCGAGGACGGGGCCAGACGGGGCTATCGCGTCCCTAGCCCTGTCGTAGCCCCGTCATAGCCCCGCCCAAACGGGGCCCAGCCCCGTCTGGCCCCGGGGGCTAGGCGGGGCCAGACGGGGCTGGTGCTAGCAGGGATAGGACAAGGTTTGAGTAGAGCGACAGGAACAAGCATAACATTTGAAAAGTAAAAAAAGACACAAAAGTCTCTTTGACCAGCTGTTTAGCCCGAGTGTTTCGAGTCCAAAAGCATATAGTAATGTCAGTTAACCCCGATGGTGCCTAGGACGGACGGGAAATTTAGAATTTTGAATGTCCCACAGAGCGTGTTTCGAATTTGGTTTCAAATTTTCGCTCTCCGAGGAATTTAGTTACTTCGAGATTTGGACTTACTGTACGCTCTTAGAGCTTGCCGGAATTTAGACTTGAATTCGACTCATCAATATCTTCCTCCCAACTAGTCTCCTGCAGCACATTCCCAGAACTCCGATTTCGGCCTTCCTCGTTTCTCATACTTGCAAGCCCAGAAAGTCGGCCGTGCCAGCACCAGCCCCGTCTAGCCCCGCCTGGCCCCCTCAATAATGGCGGGGCTAGAGGGGGCTATGAGGGGGCTAGGCGGGGCTGTAGAGGGGGCTGTGGCGGGGCATGCAACGCGATAGCCCCGCCTAGCCCCGCCAGCGAAAAAAAATTCGCAGGGGACGCCACATCCCAGCCCACTTTTGGCACCACTTTAAAATATCGTCCCCATTGTCAAATATACGAATTAATAACACACACAGATTGTAAACCGGTGGACAAATAAGAGTTTAAGCAATGAGGGACTTAAACAAAACCTCAATATATTGTGCTCATCCGCAGCTACATTCAGTGGGCGTAAACGGATGCTTTCTCCAAGTTTTATAAGCCAATTTTAATAAATTAGCTCCTTTAAATTCCAAAGAAGGTACAATAAGTGGTGTTTTTGGAATATATCTTTCGATGCAAATACGCTTCAAAAGGCTTCAATCCAGAGGGGGCTCTGGCCCCGCCCAGCCCCCTCCAGCCCCGCCTATGAAGGGGCCATGTGCTGGCAGGGGGATTATCTGAAGAACAATTCATCCAAAGTTTCTACAAAGGCTGGGTCGCTTTTCTACTATTAGACATTGTTTCATCATCGCCTCAAAGTATTTGTCTAAATTTTTGCTCTCGGAAGCTTCTCGACCATACTTTCCCATTCAGCTAATGAATTCATTAGCTTCATTCATTAGTTACTATCTACCGAAAGATCGTCATAAAGGCCTTTCCTTCATACTTAAGTCTACGCTCTTTGTGTATATAGAAAAGTTATCCAAAATGTTGGAGTCTGCACTAATGTTCCAAAGTAACGCGCACTTGGGATTTGAACCCGGGACCTCAAAACCTGGAGCTCGCTCCGCTAACCCCTACACCACCGACGCACGGCTGGAGAGCTCAGTTAAAAGCTTTGTTATTTCGTCACCGCAGGATCTGGTAGGATATTCATGTAATGGTTGTCAAACGAAAGCCTACAAGATGCATCAACTAGAGGAAGAAGTAAGAAATCTGAAGGAACTTATACACAAGACTGTTCCTTCAGAGGACCGCCCGGTGTTATCTACGCAGAGGCTAACTCGGAGTAGAGCGAGAGCCATCCAGCGTAAGGAATCCCCAGAAAGCAATTATGGGGTGAATAAGACAACTACTATTAGTAGTCAAGTCGTGGCTTCCGATGAAAAAAAAAGAATAAGAAGAAGAAGACGACACTTAACACCACAGGGAAAAGTCGCTAGAATACGAAAGAGAGTATATTAGCCTTACCAGAAAAGCGGTTGGAAAATGAAACGAATGTAAATGTGCCAACGGAAGAAGTGGAAGTAATGGGGCAGATGACGCCCAACCTTAATAATTCCCAGACAGTGTTCTCATTTCCTGAGCCTAACTTAGAGGGATTATCAATTAGCGCAAAGACATATGGCTATGGACCCAGGGTGGAATTAGCTGCCACCGCGAATTCCCATGCCAGCAGAGTTAAGAACCGAGTTGAGGAAGCCTCTAATTCATGGGGGTCAAGCTCTCCACAGAGCCCTCTGATGGGAGGTGTTGTTGACAGATCCCAGTGTGCAACTATTCACGATGCCTTAACAGGATCCGCGGACGAACTTCACGGGGACATAAATACCAATATGGCAGCCCCTTCCTCTTCTCCAGTCCACTTCGACGAGGCAATAGGGCCAGCCAACGACGTCCAAATCACAGAAAACAGAGGAATGCTTAACAAGGACCACTGTGTCATAATTCAGGGCCTCGCAGAGTCCTCCGCCAGTTCCCCCAGGGAACGAATCGCAGCTGACTTAGAGCAATTCCAGAAACTCCTCAATGAAATGCTGCAACCAACAGAAGATGTCACAGTCCTAAAGGCGTTTCGTCTTGGTAGCCGTACAAATGCCGCTCCGAAGACGCGACCGCGACCCCTAAAAATCGTCCTAGGTAGCAATGAGCAGGCGAAACTAATACTTTCCAGGCGTTTTCGATTGAAGCCTTCCCATAAAGGAGTGTTTTTTCAGCCGGACTACTCACCTGCCGAGAGAATGAAACGCCGCGAACTTGTCCTAGAATTGAGAACACGGCAAACCAACGGAGAAAAAAACTTGACAATCTACAAAGACCGGAATGTCAAAAGACATTCCGCTCCCCTCTGGATCAAGCCGATCCGAATGACTGCACAGCTAACCCAGTAGCCCGTGTCGGGTTTGAAAACAAATCTCGCATGAACTCGAAACTCATATTCATGTTTACCAACGCGCAAAGTGTACTTTCTAAACTGGACGAACTCCGTATTCATACCTACGACCTCCATCCAGATGTTATCTCAATAACAGAAACATGGTTGTCCAAACAGGTTGATGATAGAGAGCTCATGCTCCCTGGATTTCAACTGTTCCGCCGAGACAGAGAAAACAGAAGGGGTGGAGGCATAGTAACATTTGTTAAGAACGGCTTGCACGCTTCAGAAAAAAACTGCCCAACTGACTTGTAGTACCGAAGCATTATGGCTGACCATAAGGGCACCGGGCTCTCAAAGTCTCGATATCTTGACAGTATATCGGCCCCCGAGAAATGACCCTGACGCTGATGCCCAACTGCTGGAGGAGCTCAGATTATTTTCAACGCGGCCGACCACTCTCATCGTTGGAGATTTTACTGCACCTCACATCGACTGGAGCTCGGCCTCAGCCGACTGCTCTGGAGCAGCATTTGACCAGCAGCTACTGCGTACCTCCGACAACCTGCTTCTCACACAACACGTAATGTTTCCAACTAGAGTTCGAGAGGGCCAACAGATGAACTGCCTCGATCTTGTGTTCACCAAGTCGTCTGACAACATCGACGTTGTGAATTTCCTCCCCCCGTTGGGTCAGAGTGACCATGTAGTTCTCATGCGGGAATACACGTTATTCTCCCTTCTTGCACAACCGCTCGATTCCCGACCCAATATTTGGCGCGGCGATTTCGAACGGATGAAAAAGGATCTTAGTCCTATCGACTGGGCATCCACTCTCTCCGGCGATGTCGAAGAGGCTTGGTGTCAGTTCAAAGAGTTAGTCCACAACCTCATCTCCAACCATCTCCATCTCCATGCGCAAAAGACTAACAAATAGACCTCGCTGGTTGACTCCGTCCTTAAATAAGGAAGTTAAAAGAAGAGGAAACTATGGAAAAGATCGCTGACGGACCGCACGCCAGAATCCCTAAGCAGTTATAAGTTACAGAGAAATCGGGTCAAAATTCTCATCGCCAGAGATAGGAAAGCCTTTGAAAAGAATCTTTTGAACCGTGCCATGATTAATCCAAAAATCCTTTACAGCTACATAAGACAGAGCACACGGAACAAAGACCCTGTCCCACTGCTGCGAACGGCTGAGGGAGTGGAAATCTCCGATGACAAGGTTAAGGTTTAACATCTCTCTCAGTTCTTCCGGTCAGTCGTGACAAGTGAACCTGCTTTTTCCTCACCCGCTTATGAAGACGATGAAACGCCTACCCTCGAAGCCGTCTTCTTCACCGAAACAATTGTTCGGAATGAGTTACTTAACCCAAAAGAATCGACCTCCCCAGGCCCTGATGCAATCCCGGCCAAGCTGCTGAAGGAACTAGCTCCGAAATGTCCAAGCCGTTAGCCTTGATCTTTCAAACGTCATTTGTTACTGGATGCCTGCCCTCTGACTGGAAGTCCGCTACCATCACTCCGCTTTTTAAGGGTGGAAGTCGTGCATCTGCGAATAACTACAGGCCAGTGAGTCTTACCTCCATCTGTTGCAAAATCATGGAGAAGATCATTAAGAAGGCCTTGGTGCAGTTCCTCGAGCAGCACCATCTCCTTTCCGATGCCCAACACGGCTTTCGAAGTAATAGGTCCTGCCTCACGAATCTGCTCTTTACGCTCGAACGCTGGACCAAAGCACGTGATGAAGGCAAGGTGGTGCACGCCATCTACATCGACGTCAAAAAGGCTTTCGACAGCGTTCCTCATCAACGTCTCTTGTACAAACTGCGCAACGCTGGAATTCGTGGACGCCTTCTTGTATGGATCCAGAGCTTTTTGGCTGGACGGTCCCAGAGAGTGCAAGTCGGGCGTCAACAGTCCTCAGATGTAAGCGTGGTGAGTGGCGTCCCACAGGGCTCAGTCTTAGGTCCCACGTTATTTCTCGTTTTCATAAATGACTGCGTCAAGGACCTAGACTGTGATTCCATCCTGTTTGCCGACGACATAAAATTGTGGAAAGTTATTCACGATGCGGCAGACGCAGACCACCTGCAAGCAAACTTGAACAGGCTCGAAGACTGGTCGAAGCGCTGGCTTATGCCCTTCAATATAAGTAAGTGTAACTTTCTTTAACTCGGCGGCTTCAGAGCCCCCAGCCCCAGGACCTACTTTCTACACGGCACACCACTGCAACAGGTTGACAGTCAGAAGGACCTTGGTGTATGGATTACATCTTCACTCAAACCAACACTGCACTGCGCGAAGGCCGCTAAATCGGCTACAGCCACATTGCAACTCATTAGGCGGGCATTTATGGGATTTGACCGTGATTGCTTTTCCAACATATTTGGCACCTTCGTGCGACCTCATCTAGAATACGCCATACAGGCGTGGAGACCCTGGACTGCCAAGGATTATATCGTCTTGGAGAAGGTCCAGAGACGGGCGACCAAAATGACACAAGGTCTGGAAGCACTGCCCTATGAAACCAGACTGTCAGTCCTCAACCTGTTTCCCCTTTCCTACAGGCAATTACGTGGTGACCTTATACTAACATTTCGCATCATCAACGGCCTAGACTGTTGTTTAGATCCCACTGATTATTTCACCCAAGCTAACACGCCCACTTTGCGCGGTCATCCCCTAAAACTACGCTCAGGGAAATCAAGAACCAATGGACAAAAGTCCTTTTTCAGTAACAGAGTGGTTGCAGCCTGGAATGCCCTGCCTACCGATGTTGTAACCTCCTCCTGTGTGAACTCCTTCAAGTGTAGACTTGACCTGCATCAAGCTTCCCAATTACCACCCCCACATCCACTCACATAACCCAGTACCATCTCATACGGGTTTATACTACTTGTAATTAGTAAGTAACCATTAATGATTACTCTTTTTCGACTAGCTGCCAGCTGTCCGCGAGTATGTACAAAATCCCTTTTTCAACTTCCCATTTATCAATGTTTTTCTCGACGACTTGTAAGCAAGAGGGAGCTCAAAGGCGCTTGCCTATATTTCACTTAATAAACTGATACTGATACTGATACATTGACTCATTTGGGGGCAAATTACTTTTGCTTTAATTTCATATTTCAAAGGGCGTACCTTTCCGTTTTGAGAAACCTCTTCAAATCTGGAATTGTTTTGCGCCTACCCTGCCGTCACATTTGTGTTCAGGGTTTGCAAACTACAAGCCACATATCTCCCCTCTAAGAGAAATTGCACATTTATGTACGCTATTAAGAAGGATGTCATATGAGTCTCATTAAAACTTGAAGTGGATATGGATCGTGTTGTATCCTGTACAAGCATCATTAATAAATAGACGCATACGACGCCCCGTGAACAGATTTCTCAAGGTCTTACGAATCTCGTAATTATGAGCTCCTAAAAGCAAAAAGGGCTTTCTGAAAGTATAAAACTCAACAAAGATATAATCGCCTCCCGACCAAGGATAAGAAAAAACATTTTTTGCGTGTTTTCCAAAAAAATATTCGGATGCATGCATCCGTTCAAAACTGGTGGAATAATACATGCAATATTAGTGGTCACACTCTGACCAGCGTAGAATTTCCAGCAACAAAAATAAGCTCGCCCAAAGGCGGGCACTCTGACGTAAATTAAATATCTCTTGATTATGCTGTGCGACAGTCAATCTTACCGCTCTAATTAATTAACCCTATTTAACCAAAGATTAGTCTAAGAATCTCGAAAAAGGTGCGTGAGATAGCAAATCTCAGGCAAGTATACCAACTGCCTCTTCAACCTGAACGCATGAATGTTCATCAATAAACCACGTAGGCTAAAGGCTAAGCCAAACTTTCATCCTAGTGCCCAATAGTTAGCTCTAATTCATACATAAACCAAGGCCGATATAAGATATAATCATGGCGGTTGACGAAAATCTCTAATCCTTAAACAAAATTCTAAAGTCTAAGGCGGCGTCTGCTGTCGATACGCAAACCCATAAGATTATCCTTAACAGTTACTCGCGTTACGTTTGCGCTTACCGCCAAACGTTCTTCTCTAATCCGTTAACCCTAACGGGGAGACATACGAAATGTTACTGTAGCTCGCAAGACAGCGCCCATACTGTAAATGAAAAGCCTCTATTTTTGAGCATAATTTCCGCCTTCATCTTCATAATTTTCCCCAAAAACTAATAATGAGCACACTACATAAAGCTGGAAAGTAGCCATTGCCACAAACAACTATTTCTAGAGAAAATTACCGGCCCTTAACAAGCCACTTCTTATTCATCTTACTCATACTAATCAGCCTAAAGCTAACCGTTGAAATTTGAGCAAAAACGAAATGCGGGGATCGACTCACATACGCATTTCACAAGCCTGGCCCAGGACTTGTGCCTAAAACTAATAAAACCGTTTTTCGCTAATCCTAAACCGAAAGGTTAGAACTAATCCTGAAGCAAATCATTAACTCCCCGATCTCGCAGATCTGAAAGGCTCACGCATATTTCCCTCAGGGAACTAGACTGAATATATCCGCAAGCCTAAGCGAAACCCTGTTGGCCAAACTATAAACCGTAGTTGTTACCCGCTGAATCCAACAAACTCCCTTCCCTATTGCACTAATCGAAATTGCGATAAACAGTCCGAATCATAAATATTAACACTATTGATATCTGGACGTGATCATAGGAATGATAGAAGACAGCAATTCAGTATGTACATTTCAAATGACATCAGGTGCACAATAGAGGCATGAAAAGATAATAGCAGGTTGAAGCATTCATATTTTGCTGGATGGCACCTGCATACATCGTTATATTCTAAGACAAGCGTTTACAGAATAAACGGCTGCTGTGATTAACAGCAAAATCATTTTCACTAGATTAAAAAAAATTGAATCTAAAAACCATACAGTTAATTCCCAGATGGCGGATATTCGCACGGACAGTGGTGAAAATGTCTAACAGTGGGTGATGTGTTATTCTAAAAAACAGATTGGCTGACATTGTGAAATGGTCACTGTTGTTCGCCACACATGAGCGTCTTACTCATATGTCCCAAACTGGGAAGGGTAACTTTCCAGAATTATTTTTCACCGCGTCTGTTTTTCTAGATTTCCCCTCTCTCCCACCAACGCACGTCGCGCCCCCTATACATGCACGTGCAGTTCACACGCAGATTTGAATAACAAAGCTCTGAGCGACGT